ATGTTATGAAGGGTGCAAATTTCCTTACCTTTTGACCATTCCTTCCCTTTCTGTCCTTCCTGCTTCCTGAAGTTCTTAAGAGGTGTGTCCCTGTCTTCACTCTCCATCCTTCTGTCTATCAACATGACGTTATCTGTCAGTTCTATATAGGTGAATCCCAAGTAGATGAATCCTTTCTAGATTTCAGTAGCCCTGTTTATGAGTCTGGTGGTTATTTCCTCACAAGTATCTAGTAATTATAGAACCACATTCTTTCCCTCCTCTGTCAAAACCAACTTTTTTTCATGCTTGAAACATAGTAAATTAACTGTGAAAGTGAAAGTTGCTCAGTCTTATCCGACTGTTTGCAACCCCATGGACTATACAGTCCATGGAATTCTCCAAGCCAGAATACTGGAGTGGGTAGCCTTTCCCTTCTCCAGGGGATCTTCCCAACCCAGGGATCAAACCCAGGTCTCCCGCATTGCACGTGGATTCTTTACCAGCTGAGCCACAAGGGAAGCCCAAATTAACTTTACTCAGAGAAAGTAGTATTGAAGAGAAAAATGGGGAAGAGAAAGACTTTTGTTAACTATACTTCAATTTAAAAAACAAAAGTCTTTCTCTTCCCCATTTTTCTCTTCAATATTACCCTTCTCTGAGAGTAAAGCAAACTTGAGTCATCTCTTGCTATTCTTTGCCTCGTGGCCAATTGTGATGCCTGTCTTTCTCCCGTGGCCATTTGTGGGGCCGAGGCTTTGTTAGGCATTGTTTCGGCAGCTGTTACAGCCTTCTGCCTGGTCTCCCTTCTGCACATCTATAAACTGCCCCTAAGGCATCACTGTCCCCGCCCTACTATACTTTATTGTTTCCCTTGACTCCCTGACAGACACCGGGGCTCCCGATAGACACCGGGGCTCCCGATAGACACCGGGCCTCCCTGACAGACACCGGGGCTCCCTGACAGACACCGGGGCTCCCGATAGACACCGGGGCTCCCCGACAGACACCGGGGCTCCTGATAGACACCGGGGCTCCCTGATAGACCCTGGGACTTCCTGACAGACCCTGGGGCTCCCTGATAGACACTGGGGCCCCCGATAGACACCGGGGCTCCCTGATAGACCCCAGAGCTCCCGATAGACCCTGGGGCTCCCTGATAGACCCTGGGACTCCCTGGTAGACACTGGGACTCCTGTTAGACACTGACGTATCTGTTTCTCTTTGTGTCTGCCTAGAATGTAAGCTTCTGGTGGGGTCGAGAGCTTGCCTCTCTTGTTTCCTGCTATGTCATTGAGGCCTGGCTCATAGAAAATGTGCAGAAAACATTTGAATAAATATGGAGATACATTTGAGTGAATATGAGGGAAATATTTCAATGAACATGGAGAACTGTTATTTTAATATGTTCTAAAGACTCCCAACTAGTGTCCTGTGAATAAATTACAGGTAAGCTGAGATGTCGATCCCCTCAGCCAACTGGCCCTCAGCCAGTTGCCCTCTGCTCTACAAGAATGCACACGAATGTTTATTACTATTATTAATAATTGAAAATCAGAGACATCTCAAGTGTTCATCCACGTAGGAAACCATTATATTCACAGAATAGAATACTGTGCAACAGAGCTTCTCAACTTCAGCACAGTTAATTCCTTGTTGTGAGAGATTCTTCTGTGCGTTAAAAAAATGCTCAGCTACGTGCATGACCTCTAGCCACTGGAGGCCAGCAGCGGCCCCGCAGTTCGGACCAGCGAAACACTGCCACGTGCGCGCGCCCTGGAGGGCACATTCTCCCCAGGTTGGCAACCCCTGCTGTGTGATAGTGAGGATGCGACAAGGACGAGCCCCACAAACCTAATATTGAGCAAAAGAAGCCAGTTGTAAAAGAGGGATAATATCTCATTCCACATCCTTTAGAAACAGGGAAGACTATCAGATGGGAATAGAAGTCAAGATGGTGGTTATCTTTCCATAGGTGGTGATTAGGAGAGGAATGGGAACTGCTGGGGTTTGGTAATATTCTGCTTACCGACTGGACGGTGCTACATAAACATGTTCATCTTGTGAAAATCCATACCTATACGCTTAAAATCAATTTGCTTTTCTTTTTGTATGCTATAATGCCCTTAAGGGTGACTCCTGAGTCCTTTTGTAACTGACTTTTAGGACTCAGGAGCTAGCCTGAAAGAGCTGTTTCCAGTGGCTGTAAACTGGACCAGTGGGAGCAGCAAATAATGGTAGTGGTGGGATTATAACTCAAAGAATAAGATAAGTATTGATGAGCCCATCCTTGTTTAAATAAATGATCAAATAAATAAATGAGGGAGAAGGAACAAATCTTTCTTACAAAAGAACTCCAAGTGATGTTGAAGGAAGGAAAGAAAGGAAATTGCCACTAGAACACCATAGTGGTGGTTGCAGGCAAGATCCTCAGAGGAATGCTAAAATTAATAGGTGATGCTTTTAGGAGAAACAGGTACTTTGCATACTATTTTGCATTGCAAAATACTCCCCCTGCCCCAAGACATTTATATTGCAGTAGTTTTGATATAGGTCTGCACACATTCTTCAGTACAACTCCTTCAGGCAGTGGCACTTAATTCCCTTATTTCCCTTACCCTAGAGTGTGGCCTGGACCTTGGGGCTCACTCTTAAAGAATAGAAGATAAAAAGTGAGAAATAGTGACTTACAGTGAGAAACTGGCAGACCCCATCATAACCAAATGAGCACAGTAAAGCAGGTCATTCTGCAGTCACTTGCCCCCTCACGTGATGTGATGAGAAGGGCACTTTATGACGTTCTCCCTCAGAACTCCAGTCTATTAATAGGAAAATATCAGACAGACCTAAATCAAGACATTTATTATCTTCTAGTACTCTTCAAAACTAGGAGGGTCAAGATAAACAAGGAAAACATGAGAAACGTATTAGAAGACATTAAGGAAATGTGAGCCCCCAAATGCAACGTAGCATCCTGGATTAGGTCCTGGAATGGAAAAGAGATTTTTGGAAAAATTCAAAGTCCAAATCAAGGCTATATAGTGTAGTTAGTAAGCTTCCAAAATTAATTTTTTAAGGGAAGCTGGTTTAGGGTATACGAAAATTCATCTTTACAACCGTCTTTACAACTCTTCCATAAATCTAAAATTATTTTTAAATGGTTGTTGTTTTTAAGTAAAACCATATAAAAAGATGTACTCAGAGAAATCTTGTTCCCATCCCAGTTCTTTCCATTCCCTATTGGTAACCAGTTTTTTGATTAGTTTTTTTTTTTTTTTTTAAGTAAAGATATCTATTCTTACTTCCCCTCTTTTCTTACATAGATATGTACCAATGTTAGTAACTATGTATGCTGATCCTGAAAATTTCTCCACACCCATAGTTAAAGATCTTTCTCAGTCTGTCGTCATAGCTGCATGGCACGCTAATGTACCAGATTACTCAGCTAGTGCCCTAATGATGGGCATTTGCACTGTCTATAGTTTTTGCTGTTATAAACAATACTTTGAATGATCTTGTGCACCTTTGTCTTCTATTTGTGATGATGTTGTCAGAGTAGATCCTTCGAAGTAGAATTGCTAAATCAAAGAGCAAGTGCTGCTGCACTTTTGTTTCATATTGCCAGATTCCCCTCTGTGAGAGTTGTTCCATTTTGTACCCCCACCAGCAGGATATGAGATCACTTGCTTTTCTCTGGCCTTGCCAGCAGAAAAGATTTGGGCTTTTTGCCAATCTGATGGGTGAGAAATGATATCTCAGTGCGACATCTGAGATATACCATTTTCTGGATATATTATAAGATAAAGCAAATATATAAATGATATAACTGAAGATCAAGTTTTTCAGTGCAAAGGAAACATATAGACAGATACACACACATATATAAACGAGATCAAAGATTAAGAAAAAAACAACTCTTTATTTTTACTAAGCATCTGATTATGAACTCTTAATATATATTGAGGCTTTAGTGAACCAGTCTCCCCCGGCCCCCACCCATTGCCCAGTTCAGTCACACAGAGCGTAAATTAGTTCAAGAAGATTACTTTTCTCCAGGTAGTACTTCATTCTTCCTGTTGGAGGAAGACCACATTCTCTTTAGAGCTCACAGGTGCAAGGAGAGCAGTCTACCCCCTGTCACTTTTCTGACCAGAGATGAGGTGTGGCGCACAGGAGAAGTTAGGTTTCCAGATTAACCAAAGACCCTGGCCCAGAGCCTGGCTGCCTGGATGCTACTTTCTTGCTGAACCAGACCAGTCTGGTTCTAGCTGCCTCTTTAGAACCTTTTCTCTGCCCTGTATGAAAATCCCTGTTTTCTGGTCCGATTTACAAATAATTTACGTATTATAGTGAACTCTAGGTGAGAATTCTTATTTATTGTTTTCTTTTCCCAGCTTAGAGGTTTTAGAAAATTTCTTCATTCTGAATGAGAGAGAAGGGGATGAGAGCAAGAAAAATTTAAAGGCACTTCTTCTTTTCCTTATAGACCACCTCCCTCCACCCTCTCCCCCTAGATCACTATACCCATACCTGATCTACATTGCTCTGTTCAGTGGCTTGTTCAGATATCAATTCATCCAGTATGGTGGCTTTTCTAAGTGAAAGTACCTGAATGGAATCAAGTAAACTAAAAAAGGGAAAGTTTGATTGGATGCTGGATGGAAGAAATGGATAATTTTGGAGCATAAATCTTTTGGGTTAGGACAGACCTAGGTTTTACTGAAGAACAGAATGTAGACCAGCATGAGGAAGCTAGGTCTAATGAAGAAAGGCAGAAAGAAATGAGACAAATGCTCTTCCTTTTAAGCTGTGAAATATGGGATTTATCATACTACATGTCACTTGAGTGTTATATTGTGTTTGGAGATGAGCCTGGTCTTCTAAATGCCAATCAGTAGTGTGTCCTCTATTGGAATTTTTTTTATCAAGTACAAATCTATGATTGTAGATTGTTTATAATGATGAAGATTCTTTAATGTGAGGTATCCCTTTCCAACATTACTTCTTCTCTTTTTCTCAGGATTCTAACATTTTTCCGAAAGTCTTTTGGAAAGAACAAGTCTACTTCAATAAATGAAGGAGAATAAAGAAAATTCAAGCCCTTCAGTAACCTCAGCAAACCTGGACCACACAAAACCATGTTGGTACTGGGATAAAAAAGACTTGGCTCATACACCCTCACAGCTAGAAGGACTTGATCCAGCTACTGAGGCCCGGTACCGCCGAGAAGGGGCACGGTTCATCTTTGATGTGGGCACACGTTTGGGACTGTATCCTGTTTCTGGAATCTACAATAGATGGGTTTCCCACCACCACCACCAAGAATTAAATTAGGCATTATAGATAAAAGAGTAACATCCCTGACTAAAACAGCTTTTAAATATCTTTCTTATTTAAATGCTACTTCAGATTTGCTTGGCTCCTTAGGGGTTTTCTGTCTCTTTTTTACAACGTAAGTGTGTAGACATAGCCACTAAGCTTGTGGCCACCAGGATGAAAAGCAGCACCTGCTGATCACAGAGGGAGTACACCTAAGGATAGTGAAGCCCTGCCTTCCTAAAGCTTCCCAGGTGACACGGTGTAAAGAAGCCACCGGCCGATGCAGAGACGCAGGGCCAGTCCCTGGGTGGGGAAGGTCCCCTGGAGGAGGGCATGGCCACCCACCCTGGTATTCTTGCCTGGAGAGTCCCATGGACAGAGAAACCTCGCAGGCTGCAGTCCATGGGGTCACACAGAGTCAGACACGGCTGAGCACACAGCACACACACCTTATTAAAGCACAGGCTGCAGCTTGTACCAGAATCCTGACACCTTGAGACTCCCATTTACCTGCTTTGTCACTGATAATATTTGCCTTCCCACCTCTCTTGTTGTTATTGTTCGCTTTTATTATTTTTCTGCATTTAACGAAGACATAACTCTTGGCCAAAGTCCTTAACCAGAACAACAGACACTATGACACCCTGGCAACTGGAATAATTTATTTTCATCGCTTCTATATGTTCCATTCCTTCAAGCAATTTCCAAGATATGTAAGTATTTTAATTCTATTATAATTCTCTATCATGTGTTATTATTTCTACATAGTTCAGTGAACAGACTCTAGCCTTTCTTTTTATTGTATTTTACAGGAAGTATTCATTTTTGTATGGTGCGTACTATATAAACAACATCAAGTTCAGACTTTGTTTTTTCCCAGTTAACTGTAGTAAAATCTTGTTTGACTGTCTTGTTTGGGTCAGTATGAACCATAATCGTGTCGCCCTTAGTGTACTTTACTCCCTTGTTACTTTTCCCAAGATAAGATTGGCCTTACGGTTGAGACGCAGCAAAGGCCAAGATGGCATAGGGGTTCTTTGTTCCGTGTCAGGGAGTCTTCAGGTACTTTTTAAACCTGCTCTCTGGGAGATGCCACCTCCAGTGGTTTCCGGTCCAGGACAGCTGGTCTGATGAATGCCAAGCACACAGTAGAGAGCGAGGCCACGGGAGAGGCAGGGAAGAAGGCTGGCGCTCCAGGGGAGGGGTTGCCTGCATCATGGGGGGGGGGGGGGGGGGGGGGGGAGTGCCAGGGAGGCGGTGCCAGCCCTGAGTTAAGCCTTGGCGGTGAGTGGGACCTTGCTGCACTGAGGTGAGACTGAGCAGTCGTCTGCCAGAAACCAAGCTGAGCCAGGCTCTGGGGCAGGCGTGCAGCCAGCCAGGAGGCCTGTGGGCAAGAACGGCATGGTGGGACTCTGGGTGCAAAAGTAGTCTGAGCTAGACTATTGTGGACCTTGAATTCCAGACCGGGGAACTGTGACTTTAATAGATCAGCCAACGTGATGGGAGGGTTTTATGAAGAAGACAGAATTAGACATAACAGGAAGGTAGTCTGCTGGGGCTTCTTCCTTTTGCTGAGAGTTACTCAGTTTTGCACGCATCTCTTCCTCACTAGTTTGTGATGTTCTCGGGGGAGAGACCGTGTCTAGATCCGCTTTGTACTCCAGCACGGTACTGACTGCTGTGTGACGTGTGGTCAGGACTCTGTGAGTGGAGGGGCAAGTAGAAGAGCAAGCAGGCAGAGGAAAGCTGGAGGCAGAGCAGTGAGACGGTCACAGGGACGAGGAGCAGGACCAGGAGTCAGGCAGCAGAAGGAAGGAGAGAACACGGGCCATGGTACGGGGCGAACACGCTCTGAGCAAGGCTACTGGTCAGGGAGGCAGTGTCTCTAAGAACACAACATGAAGAGAAAGTTTGTTTTTGTGACTTTTCCCGTCTACATGATTTACATGGCATTTAATTTAGAAAACTATATTTTAAATAATTTGTGAAGCCAAATTGGAGGTTGCAGGGTGGATTGTCTATATGTGGACTTCCCTTCAGGTTTTTAGAGTGCCCTAGTGTTTGTGAATGAGAAGAGTAAGACAGGAAGGGAGGCGTCCCAGTTGATTGTGAAGGCCCCAAATCCTTCTGTTTCTGGGTGAGCCCTGATAGTGAGATCAAGAGCTTTTGTCTTCCTTTTAGGTGACAGGAGCTTGTTGTCTCTTTCTGGCTGGGAAAGTAGAAGAAACACCAAAAAAATGTAAAGATATCATCAAAACAGCACGGAGTTTATTAAATGATGTACAGTTTGGCCAGTTTGGCGATGACCCAAAGGTAAGAATCATAACTTCCTGTGCTCAGGTCTTGATTCCTCAGGGCAGCATTGTGGCAGAGTTCCTTGTGTTGACAATGGATGTGGCCCCAGTATCTGCCAGTCCCTGGAATCCCTAAGAGGCCCTTATACAGAGATTGCTCTTCCTTGCTTCTGTGAGTAAGGAGGGGAGATAATGTACTCCACACTTAGGTGGCAGCTACTGATGTGCTGTGTCGGCTTCTGAGCCCTTGAAGGGCAACAGCACGTAGCACCAGTAGGAGCAAAGTTCTCTCGTGGCCGTTAGCACTCTTAGGCCCAGAAGCAGTTTGGCTTCTTGGGTTCCTCTCTAGCCGGCTTCTGGGCAGACAGAAAGTACAAGTGCTGTATGTACATGTGCTGTGTGTCTTTTGCTTCCCAAGAATGGTGGAAGATACGAACATTTGCAGACACCCAGATTAATAGACTGTCCATCTTGTCCCTTCCCCACAACACCTGCTACTGTCAGGAAATGGTGGCAAAATAATTGTACACATTCTTTTATTATGTTCTAAAAAGACCACTTTCAGGGATTGGTAGCAGCTTTCCTTCTCCCTGGTCCTTGTCAGGATCTCTCATTATGATCCTTATAGCATTGACAAGAGTGATCCTTTATGACATTTATCACAGCTCATAATTACGTAGCTTTTTTTAACCAGGTTGACACACACAGAGTATCCCTTTTCTCAGTCGTCTGTGAGCGCTCAGACCCTGTCTGTTCTGCCTGGTGCCTAGTGTTCTCTCCTGGCTGGACAGGGTAGACATTTAGTAGGTACTTGTTGAGTAAATGACAGCCTGAGATTGTGGGGAGAAACTGAGAACCACAGAAATGCAAAGCTGACCCAATCGGAGACGTTCGGCGCACCCACGGCCCTGTTTCTCCTAGTCAGCTGGTGTTGCTTCCCATGGCAGTCACCCTCTCTCCGGCCCGCAGAATCTGTGTGTGTATAAAACACGTGTGCTTGTTTTCCTTCTCCCTTCAAAGAGGTGACAGAGGCCAGAATGCTTTTGCACATTCTGTGGTTGCAATAAATGGTGGTCCTTTGTGTAAGTATTGTCGGTGTGGGTAACCCTGTTCCTTGAACTTGTTTATAAATCTATTCACCTGTTTATAAAAATGTGAACCTATGATAAACTCATAACTACCAGTGGTCAAAAATATATTTTATGAAAGTAATGTACCATTAGATATTTCTGATGCCATAGGTTTTTTATTTTCACGGAGCACAGAGTCTGTTGTAGAAATGGATCGTGCTTTAGTCAGGTCTGGTTGCAGGGGCAGAAGGACCTTGTGACTAGCGAGCCGTGGTTACTCAGGAGTCGCAAAGATCTGGAAGCTGCAGCCGCTGGTGTACGTCGTCCAAGGCACCTTTGGAGGAGTCCTCTTCTGCTTGCAACCTTAACCCCCTGCACCAGCACGCCAGGAACCTGAGACCCGGGCCAGGCACAGCGAGATGGAAGTACTGCGGCTCAGTGCCCAGAGGCCAGCAAGTGGGGAATGGCCGTGCTCATCAAGCTTTTAATGCAGGCCAGCTTGACCCACATGGGTAGAGGGCTTTGTAGCCCACACTCTGCTTTCTCACATGCAGTCTCCCTACACCTGACTGGGTGTCAGGGCCACAGGAAAGAACCTGGGTCTGGGAGCAGTGAGAACACTGTGATAGATACTGTCTCGATGGAGAGGAGAGGAGGGCAGTTTGGAGGGAGGCCATGTAAGCATGTAAGAAAAATAAGATCCTGAATCATGTCCTAATAAACTTTGCCCGAACTGTGTGATTTCCCCATTACATTAATCTCTCATGTACTCAACAAGTACTTGTTCCAGGCTCTGTGTTAAGCACTAGACATCGGTAGCAATAGGGCTTCCCTCGCGGCTCAGTCAGTAAAGAATCTGCCTGCAGTGCAGGAGACTTGGGTTCGATCCCTGGGTCAGGAAGACCCCCTGGAGAAGGGAATGGCAACCCACTCCATATCCTTGCCTGGGAAATCCCATAGACAGAGAAGCCTGGTGGGCTTCAGTCAGTGGGGTCACAAAGAGTTGGTCATGACTGAGCGACTAACACTCACAGGTAGCAAAACAGGCATGGCCTTTGCTCTCATGGTTTTTACAGTCGAGTAGAGGGATAGATTTTATAATCAAACATTCAGATAGCCAGTGATCTGCTTATGAGATGTGATAAATGCTGTGAAAGGTTATTTAAAGGTGAGGTGCGGGCTTGCCATCTGGGAACCTAGGCAAGTACTCCAGACAGGTAGTATGGGGCTGAGGGAAAGTTCCCCGAGGGGTGATGCTGGCACCCAGACCCATAATTATCCCTTTAATTGAGTATCTGAAACAAAGGGAGGCCAGGCATTGAGCTGTCTCGTAATACTATACTGTATGGGCTACAGTCTGGACACTTGTTAAAGAGTGTTCCCAAATTTAGAAGACATGATGAAGCTTCTAGGAAACAGGTGGTGACAAAAACACTGAGGGGTTGGGGTGGAGGAGACAGTGATGGTGGGAATCTTTTTTTCTTTTTTTTTTTTCATACTGTATGAAAGTGTTAAGACTTGAAGAAAGTTTCTTGAGAGAACACTTGGGAAACTTGAGTGGAAGCACATTCACCCTGCCTGACCTGCCATCTGGAATAACTCTTGTGGTAGAATCCTCTGCCTTCTGTGAACTGATACCATACTTGAACCTAAAACCAGTTATCTACATGGCTTCTCTTCCCAGAGTTAACAGATTTATGTAACTGTTAACGATGAGATTGTCAGTCTCTTGAAACCCTTTCTTCTTCAACTCAAACAAGTGATTCTAACTGTTCTTGCCACACAGAGCATCTGGACAGTATTTTACAATCAAGTGAAATTGTCTTAATGTAAGTGCTCAGTCAGGCTGTACAGCCGTTGAATTCAAGAAGTTCTTGTTTATTAACTAGTTAGGAAGTATAATCAAAAGAGATTCCATTTACAATAACAGCAGTAAAATAATATATCCAGGAGTAAACCTTAAAAGAGATTTATGGAAACCATGTTGGGGCTGGGAGACTTTAGAACTACAAAAGGACTGGAAAGGAGATTTTCATAAATAAATTTTTGATAGTAAGATACAGTGTAATTAAAACGTCCATTCTATAAATCAGTGAGTTCCCAGACAGAACATAGTGGCCTTCATTTTTTCTAGAATGGTACCAAATAAAATGATATTAAAATGCAGATGTTAGGGGGAACATGCAAAAACAAGAAACGTTTTTTAAAAGAGAAGTAATAATTGAACTGTCCCAAATGTTTAATCACTTTGGTCCTGGTACAGAAATAGACCAACAGATCTATGAACAAAAAAAAGATTGTATGTGAGCACACGTGTATATGAATAGGCAGCTTAGGATATAGTTTGATAAAAGAGAAGATGATGATTTATTCAATAAATAACATTGGGAAAGCCTGTTTCAGGAAGATGAAAGATTAAAACACAGTAATAATGTGCCCCATTCACACACACACACACATTTAACTGGTATAATTCACTGTCCAGGTATTCATGAAGCTGCCACTGTTACAGTCTTTCTTGCTTAAAATTTTCAGTGTAAATGCCTGAAAGATTGCATTTTTTAATACAGGTTTAGAAGGAAACCAAGGTTTATTAATGTATCTATAAAGTAAAGATCTGTTTTTTAAAAGGGGGCTCATGTGTGTTGAACGTAATGACATTTCTGAGAAAGTTTGTTTCCAACAGTTTTAAAAATTAACTCTGATTGTTTTGTTTTCCTGCTTGTAGTTCTTTTGAGAATTTTATCGTCTTCTGAGCATGTTAAAGGCCTGAGTGGGAGAGAGGAGAAAGGGAATGAAAAATAGTTTCTAAAATAGAACTTGGGAGAGAGAATAAAAGGAAAGCTCACGTTTTTAATGCTGTTTCAGACCTGTGATTGAAATTACTACCCCAGCATTTGTTATTTCATTTTTAGGAAGAAGTAATGGTTCTGGAGAGAATCTTACTGCAGACCATAAAGTTTGATTTACAGGTAGAACATCCGTACCAATTCCTACTCAAGTATGCAAAACAACTCAAAGGTGAGAAGAAAAAACGTTATGAAGAAAACCTCTTCATTCTGAAATCATCTGTATAATAATTTGATGACACTCAGATTATACTTTTCAAGAGAGAAAAGCAGAAAGTTCAGTGTTTGAAGTACCCAGGCCATAGCTTGCCAGACAGTTCATGTTATAGCTGCTAATGCTGTTTCCTTTTATGTATAAACAGACTGTCATCCAGTTGCCAAGTGATATGAGGCAGGAAAATGAGTCAGAATTTTTTAAATAGCCTAATAAAATCAGCCTCAGAGCCAGGTTTCCCATAAATGGTGGTTCAGCGTGGGTCATGTGGACAGAGGACAGAAGTAGGACCTGGGCCCGCTCGTCTGTCCTTGGCTCCCCAGCAGCAGCTCTTTGCTGTGTGTTAGGACTGCTGCTGAGCACACGGTAGACTTCAAATAAGTACTTATTGCCTCTCGTGTATTGTTTTTTCTTTCTATTGCTACTAATTTGCCTTCTCTTTCCCATCTCTAGGTGACAAAAACAAAATTCAAAAGTTGGTTCAAATGGCATGGACATTCGTCAATGACAGGTACACGTGTTCACATTGGTTTAATCGTGGTGCTTTCAAACAGGCAGGGACTTCATGTGTCATCTAACCCGAACCCCTTATTTTGTCATGAGGAAACTGACTTGCCCCAGCTTTAGGGCCCAGTACATGGCAGAGGTGGGGTTAAATAAAATCCAGGTCATTTGCTTCCCAGCAGAGGGGTAACCTGTTATGTCATGGTGGTACAGGATGCTGAAGCCTTACCACCAGCTTGAAACAGAAGTCCAATGCAATATACCAGAGAATTTTGACAAGTAAATACTTAAATCCATTTGATTTTGCAAAAGTTGGAGAGTATGTATCTGCAGTTTTATACTTTTTGTGATGGTTCTAAAGCCTTGATGTTCTTGGAGCCCAGAGATCTAATGAGGTACTGTATGGGGAACAGGATGCCCATGAGTAGCATTGCTTCATGTGAGGAGAAGGGTCAGCATCAGGATTCCAGCCACTTAAGAACTTAAGCAATTTCACTTGTATTTCACGGCATAGCAATTTCTGAAGGTGCTGGAATTCTTCTGCCTCTTCAAGGAACAGACAGATTAGTAGCTGTAGTTAAGTAACTCATTTCAGTATGTTTAGAAGGCTAAAAAGTTGCTTATTAATAATACTGTATTTGATCATGTATAGGGGATTATAAGCAAATAAGACACTTGGATACAGCATCTAATCTCCATGCATTCAGTTAGTCATAAGTGTTTGCTCATCCAAGTCAAGTCACCTCTTTTTCTTGTTGAACTAGTCTCTGCACGACCTTGTCACTACAGTGGGAACCAGAGATCATAGCAGTGGCAGTGATGTATCTTGCGGGACGTTTGTGCAAATTTGAAATACAGGAATGGACCTCCAAACCCATGTACAGGAGATGGTGGGAGCAGTTTGTGCAAGACGTCCCTGTGGATGTTTTGGAAGGTATGGGGCGTGCTGAGCTTTCTGCAGGCTGATCATTCTTCCCTGGGAAACTTGAGTCCCAAGAATGGATTTTCCCCAGTAGGTGCATGCAAACTATTCTTTAATTAAATTCTCTAGAGTGTTCATTCTGTCCAAGGGTGAACTGAAAATGCACAGCAGTGCTTCACACACCAGAGATGGGTGATTTGTTAATGCAGATACGACCCGGCATAATGGTCCTTATAGGGGCATCATAGCTGCAAGGGACATTGGGGGCATTTTAAAACATCACCTTGTGAGGAACGCAATTGTTGCCTCTCGTTTAGACATCTGCCACCAAATCCTGGATCTGTACTCACAAGGGAAACAACAGATGCCTCATCACACCCCCCACCAGCTGCAGCAGCCCCCATCTCTCCAGCCGACACCGCAAGTGCCACCAGTGCCACCGTCACAGCCGCCTCCGGGCCCTGAGCCACCCCAGCCCCCACAGAAGGACTCGCAGCAGCCAGCCCAGCAGCCGCCGCCGCCGCCTGCCCAGCCGCCCAAGAAGCCGTCCCCGCAGCCCAGTCCCCCCCGGCAGGCGAAGCGAGCCGTGGTGAGTGCGCCAGCTCAGCGCCAGGTGGCTGGCTCCCCACGGCAACCCCCCCCACATCCCCGCACGTCTTCCCCTTGCTGAGGATCGCCCAGAACTGCAGCCTTGCCGTCTGCATGTCTGTGGGCAGCTGGACCGCTGGTGTGGTTGAGGGGAGGCCTCTGGGAGCCAGGGCAGCTCCATCCTTCAGCACTGCTGTTGCTATGCCGGGGCCCCAGAACCTGCTGGGGTAGGCGTCTCTCCTGGCTGTCGGTGACGCGTGGTGTCTGTAAAGGTTCCTCCCCACGGCAGGGGGAAGCCCTATGGGACAGACAGGGCAGCAGGCCCCGCTCACCACAGTTCCGACAGCTCGAGGAGGGCGCAGGACTCACTGCTCAGAAAAGCTAGTCCTTCTGTCCGATTTGACAGGGAAAGAGGAAGGAGGCAGAAATGATGATCTGTCAGATGCCTTGGTTTGCTCTGCAGGTTCAAGCCAAAGTTAATTTTTGTCTGAGGCTGTGTCTGGCTATGATTCTGCAGTGCCTGAATAATCCATTTTTCTGATGATTACTTTTCAGAGTCTTGGTTAACCACTGTTTGTTTTCTTTTGTAACAGGTTGTTTCTCCCAAAGAAGAGAACAAAGCAGCAGGTAATTTGCTGTCCTGTGCTTCCTGTTTTAGTTTTATGTGTTGTTTATCAAAACTTTAGTTTCTTAATCAAAAAATCATTTCCTTTCAGATTTAGAGTGACCTTAAAATTTAACGTTGGAGCCAAGCAAAAACTTTATCCTACCTGCATTGTCTCTTCTGTGTATTCCCCGACTGTGTGTTTTTGGATTGTACTCTTAACAGAAAGTATCAGTTCAAAGAAAATCACTAGCGGCAGTGAAAACGTGCTCAGCAACATACGGTCGTTCCTTGGTATCAGCGGCAGCGGGGCAGCCTCCGGACCCGCCTTAGATACCAGACTCGCAGATGCTCAAGTTTCATAGTCTGCCCTCCCTGTCTGCAGATGCGAGGGGCCGACTGTATATCAAAATGTAGTTAGGAATGTAGGTGAACCACTGCAGCAGCATTTTTTTTGAAGGTTGGTTAAGCCCACTGCAGTCAAGAGGCCCCCTGGCTGAGCAGCAGGCAGCAGCGTGCAGGTAGAAAGGAGGGGGGCCATGAGCCAGGGTGCCACCTGCTGCTTACGGGGCCAGGCTTCTTTGCAACACCTCTTTTCCCCATATTTGTGGAGCCGAGTTGGTTAACTTGTTTCTGTGCTAGAAACCAAAGCAGGATGGTCACAGAGACGACGAGAGGCGCGTTGCCTCCGACTCAGCCGGCCCCGTGGCGATGACCCCTGTGCAAGCACAGGCCGGGTGTCTGTATTTCTGATTCTGTTTTCTCTGTTGCTTGGTTCCAGGGTAGGAACCTCAGGAATTATTTATTGAACTGCTGTGAGATCTTCACATTACAGTAAAGCTACATTTTTCTCAGGATCTTTGGGGAAATGATGAGTTCAGTACAGGGGAGATCTTTTTTTTTTCCTAGCTCCGGATGGGTAAGCAGTGAGTGTGAGACACAGAAGAGGGGGCTGTGCTATGTTTCACGTGGGTGTACGATCTGCTGAGCCGGTACCATGTCTGTGAGAGGCAGAAACAAGCCCGGTGGGCCTTGGGGGAGGGCTGGCCTCAGTCAGCTGGGGCGGACAGGGTGGAGTCTTTAGGTACATGAAAACTGATCAGTGGAGTTGAGAATTTGGGAGAAAACAGAGAAATGAGTTTTACTGGACTGTGGGTTCAAAGGGAGTAGCTTTTGCTAGAACTGAAGATGGGATGGAAGCAGTGACTGTGCCCACCTGGGTGGGCACCACGGGAGGTGTGTGAGCAAGAGATGGCACGGTCTGAGTTCATTCCGTTCAGAAAGTCTCCCGGCAGCACTCACGGCACGGAGGCTGGGGAATTGGGTCGGGGGGATCTCTCAGGAAGAGGGTAAGAGGGGCTGTCCCTGGACCTCGAATTCAGCCTGTGTTTGAGACAGAGGAAGCCAGGAATACTGAGCAACTACAGGGCGGAGCGGTGTACAAGCTAGAATAGAGCAAGTTTCAGGGAGAAAGAACCAAAAATACACAAAGATGGAGTGCTTTTTTGGTTGTATGCACACTCTGTCTACTCATGACCGGAAGGTACTGGACGCAGTGCAGCCTGTCTTGGCCACTTAGCCAAGTGGTCACTGGAGGTGCCGTTTCCAAGCAGCTGCCCCACCCCGAAGGTTGGGCCGTGTGCTCTGCCTCAAGTGGTCCCGACTGCTTTGCTGTCACGTCCGCTCACCTCCAGCCACCAGTTAATGGGCTGGTAACTGGGAGTAAATACTTGTAAGAGAAAATAACCGCAGATGCGCCTGAGCAGGAATCAGACAGCGGCAGTTGCTCCTGTGCACACTTGGGGCCTTTGTGTTCTCTGCGCTAGGGTGGACCCCGGTGGGTACCACTTGGCACCTGAGATTCACTCCACTTCTCTCAGGTCATTGGACGGCTTGTCTTAGGTGGTCAGGAGAAAACTGGGCAGATAGGGAAAATGGGCTGGCCATTTTTGCTTTGGGGAGGGAGGTGGTAAAAGGTGCGGGGCGTGCGGGGAGGGGGGCGGGACAGAGGGATGTATTTGTTTGATTTCCTTTTTGTTCTTTTAAAAGGATGGTTTAGCCAGTCTGTCCTCAGCTTCCCTTAAAGCCTTCATATCTGCCTTTTCCCCAAAAAATTCCTTAACGGTACATTTTTCTGTTCCTTCTCTCTCTCTCTCTGACATGTTTATTCTACATGAAGAGTAGCTTTTTAAAATCTATTTTTTCTGTTTAGAACCACCACCACCTAAAATTCCCAAAATCGAGCCCACTCACCCTCCATTGCCTCCAGCCCATCCACCTCCAGGTAAGCTCTGCTGGTCTCTGGGAAGACCAGCTTTTCTCTCTGCCTTTTTGAAGGACAGATTTTGGAAGTCCTGGGGAAAATTTCTAGAAGAACTTCAGAAATATAAAAAGACATTAATGACTTGGGTGTGGATATTCGCTCAGTGTTGTCCAACTTTTTGCGACTCTATAGACTGTAGCCCACCAAACTCCTCTGTGAGTAGAATTCTCCAGGCAGGAATACTGGAGTGGGTTGCCATTTCCGTCTCCAGGGGATCTTCCCAATCCAGGGGATTAGTGCAGGGTCTCCTGCATTGCAGGCAGATTTTACTGTCTGTGCCACCAGGGAAACCCCTGGAACATAAAGGGGGTTGAGGGGGGTGGGAGTTGGAGAGGGTGCAGACTGACCGGGACAGATGTGTTCTGATGACCCCCTTTGTCGTCAGACGGGGTCATCAAATCTCTCCCAGTCAGTCTGCACCCTCCCCAACCCCCACCCACCTCCCCTAACCCGGTTCTCCCGCTCTGACCTGACTTCACGCCATCCGGCCCCTCCCCCTCCCCCCTCTGGATGTATCCTTGTTGTTTCACATTTCTGAACTCACCTGAGTACTCTGCAGCCAGAGACACTGCATAGTGGAGACAACGTCCCCTCTGAAAAATTCAGATTTACACCAAGGACCTGAAAAATACTGGAAGTCTTCTCTTCTGTCTCGTTCTTGAGGGTCTGTTCCCTAGAGCCCCATCAGACCCCAAGCTAAAATCAGAGGGCCCCCAGCAGGGAGACAGGGAGACATCTGAGAAGGAGCTCCTGTTGTGAACAGTGCTGGTGGTGGGGATGTGGGCGGGGGTGGTGGGGGTGCATCCAAGAAGAGGGATAAGGGGTGTGAGGCAGGGGGCTGGACTGGAAGGGGCTCGGGTGAGTCTGCACTCCAGCTTGAGCGTCCCAGAGAAATGATCCATGGCTGTTTCCCCTGACCTGAAATCTCTCCCCCTCTGCCCATCAGAGGTGTCATTTTTTCTGGCCTACATGTAACTCCAAGAAGCTGCATAAGGCCTACACCCGGGGCTTCCCCCCTGCCCCCCGCCCCCATCTTCCTCCTCCTGTGGCTTCAGAAGCAGCAGCAGTGGTAGCAGCGGCCCCTGCCGCCGCCGCCGCCGCCGCCGCCGCCTCCTCGTTGCTTGTTCCTCCTGTCCCAACCCCGCTGGTGGGGCCAGGCTCTGGCCCTCTGTTACTGGCGCTCAGGCAGACCGCAGCTCCTCTCAGAAAATTGTTTTTTACAGCCACATAATTTTGGGGATGTTGTGAATTCTAAGTATATCTGAATAATCTCTGATCTCTTGCATCCAGAGATGGTGAACTACCCATGAGAAACTAATTTGGAATTAGTTTTAGGAAAACAACAGCCCTGCCAACTTGGGAACATTGTGCAGATCCGGGCAGGAGCGCAGTAGCCTCAGGCTCCAGGCTCTGCGCCTGCTTCCTCTTGGCATACACTTTGAAGAGGAAGCAGTTGTTCGTGTAGTCATGTGGAGAAGAAAGAATGAAAAGTGCTTCACAGGCACCCAGTGACCTAGGACACTTCTGCGACGTCACTAGAAGTAGAGGCGGGAAGTTATAAAGAACTTCCCTTCTTTACCCATGGCATCATTTTGGAAGTGTTTAGCTAGAAAAGGTGGAAATTGGTGTCTGTCTGCTGAAGGGTGGAAGATGCTCCAGAGACCTCTGAGCCTCTGGAGATGTCAGCTCTCCCCGTGGGCTGCTGAAACAGGAGCCCTGCCTCGCAGCCCAGGGCACTGGCCAGACCTGCCACCTTGGGGGCGGGGGGCGGGGGGGCAGAGACTGACTCAGGTTTTGTTAACACCAGGTCACAAAGTGACCATCTCTCAGGCGTCCTGCTAGAACACCAGTGCCGCAGGCAGTGGTGTGGTCTGGCCCCGGCCTGGGCTCGCCTTTCTCTGGGGGCCGAGATGGGCAGAAAGAAGGGGCCAAGCCCGTGTTTGTGCTAGATGGGGGTCTGGGGCAGAAGGGGCTTCCTGCACCGCCGGGAATGCCCGTGGCTTGTGCACTGGGGACCAGTGGGGGGACCCGCAGAGCGACTGGAGGCAAGGTGGTCGTGCGTGCCGGACCAAGGGGAACAAGGTGGAGGGCCTGTGTGGTGGAAACGAGCCCACGGTGGCAGGACGCAGGCGCAGGCCGTGCTGTCGGGCCACAGAAGCAAAGGTGGCCCAGGGCGCAGTGACAGGGCCGGGAGCCCCAGGGGTGACTGGGCCGTGCGTGGAGCCCTGAGTGGGCAGTGGCCCCTGCCTCCACACGCTGCCCTGCTGGGGAGGCGGCGGCTTGGGCGGGCCAGTGACCCGGCTCCTCTCTGCAGACAGGAAGCCGCCCCTCGCAGCCGCGTTGGGTGAGGCCGAGCCTCCAGGCCCGGTGGAAGCCGGCGACCTCCCCAAGGTCCAGATCCCTCCTCCGGCCCACCCAGCGCCTGTGCACCAGCCGCCGCCGCTACCGCACCGGCCACCGCCGCCGCCGCCCTCTAGCTACATGACGGGGATGTCCACCAGCAGCTCCTACATGTCCGGGGAGGGCTACCAGAGCCTGCAGTCCATGATGAAGACCGAGGGCCCCTCCTACGGGGCGCTGCCGCCCGCCTACGGCCCACCGGCCCACCTGCCCTACCACCCGCACGTCTACCCGCCCAACCCGCCACCGCCGCCCGTGCCCCCGCCCCCCGCCTCTTTCGCCCCCGGGCCTGGGCCTGCCACCAGCCAGCTACCCGCCTCCGGCGGTGCCCCCGGGGGGACAGCCCCCTGTGCCCCCGCCCATCCCCCCACCTGGCATGCCTCCCGTGGGGGGGCTGGGGCGGGCAGCCTGGATGAGATAACCTTTGACCCCTTTCTTTTCCTTTGTTGTTTTTTTAAGAAAAGTTTTTCTAATCGACTTGAAAAGTAATTTAAGTGGGTAAGCAGCAGGGTACCTTGTATTATGTCGACAGTTGGAGTATGAGAAGAAGTGGACGGGACCAGAGATGAAATCGGGGTGCCCCTGCTCACCTGGAGAGTGGGTGCAGCAGCCCTCGGGGGGCCAGGCCGCCCAGCTGTGACCCCGCCGCCTCTCCCCGCGCCGCCTCTCCCAGCTCAGCCTTGTCCTCGGGCCCTGCGCTGGGTCACTTCCCGCTGGTGAGAATGTTCACCAGCCATGTTGGCTCAACACAGAGCTTCAGCGAGGAGTGCATTTCCTTCTAGAAACCAGTGCCTATTTTTCCTGGAAAGTCGTTTTCAATAGTACAGTTCCGTCTGAAGTCAGGCTTGTCATTGCTGTCATTCATGAAGTTCTCACCCACGGCTCCCAGGCCAAATGAACCACTGTCTGATTTAGAGAGAACCCACACCGTTTGTGTTCGAGTTACTCTGAAGGGGCTGCCTTGCTTTTTCCAGGGAGAAAGGGAGAAATGTTCTTGGAAGTAATGTATGTTTACATCAATTTGCAAATTCCTATACATAGAGATATATTTTTTAAGTGTGAATGTAACAACATACTGTGAATTCCATCTTGGTTACAAACAAGACTCCTTCAGTCAGTTACCCAAATAAAATCAGTTCTGAAATGGCCCCTTTCCTTTGTTACGGGCAGAAGGCGGGGCGCCTAGGGTTTGCAGCCCAGAAGCAGGTCTTCCTGGGGGTTCTGGGGGTGTAGGAGCAGGGCATGGAGGAATGCCCCCCAGGAGATGGCCCAGGAGGACCTTCGGGGGCTGGCCTCCCACATCAGGCACCAGCTCGGGCTTTCTTGGGAGGAAGTGGTTGAATGTGATGGTGGTTTGGGCCTGTCCATCTCCCTCCATAGACAGGTCCCTGGGTTTAGACTGGAAACTCTTTTCCCTCCTGGTCTGTGACTGAGACCCTGGAGCAGTAGGCGTCGGCCCCACTGTCTGCCCCGAGGGGCCCCATCGCCAGAGAAAAAGCACTGCATACACACCGCAGAGGCTTGCAAGGAGCCTTTATTTATCTAGCGCAAAGTATACACTATCACAGTCTTCTCTGTTACTTTTACTAAAATAGTTCAAATCAATGTTTTTACCACACTATCAAAAAAGTTCTATTTCTTTTTCTCTCCCCAAATCAAAGTGGTTCAATAGAAGGTAGAAACGGGCACAGGAGTCCAGGGCTACCGGCACTGCGCGGAGCTGGGGAGGGGTCGGCCCGGGGCTCCAGCGTCCCATGGAAGACAGAGCGTGGTTGCTGGCCCGGGGACGGGAGCCAGGCACGCACCCGTTCCCAGAGAGCAGCACAAATAGTTCCCCCACGTTATGAAAAATATACACCTCTACCGCTCTGCAGTCATGCATTTCCTTTGTTTCTTTAAAAAAAAAAAAGTCAGTAGTATGCATGGTTTCCTCTCAAGTTTTCAAGAAAGAAAAAAAAAATGAAAGGTCACTTTTCTCTTTCAAACACTGATGTGTGTGGCTAATAACTTTTGGATAAAAATGTGCTCAGTGGATTCTGATTCCAGGATGGGCCTGGCCACGTGGGATGAGGCTGGAAGGGCGACACCCATCACAGTGGGGACGAAAGCCTCAGCACACGGGTCCCATGGGGCTCCGGCAGCAAAGAGTGTCTGAAACAAGGACCTTCACGAAAGGACACCAGGTTCAGTGACACCCCTACCCACGAGCTTCAGAGCTAAGGCTCTGGACCGGAGGAGGGGTGCCACGGTCGCCCTGCGCACACTCCCTGCGTAGTGGCAGAGCTGGGACTCCCCTGAGCTAGCCAGGATCCCGGGATCCTCCTCCCAGCCGAGGGTTCCTGCTGCAGCCAAGGCCCCAGGCCCAGCGCGGGCCAGGCAGAAGTGCTGCAGGCTTTTCAACAGCTTAGGTGAACGAGATGGTATCCCAGGTACAGCTCTGTCCTGGAAACCCGTTCCCAGGCAGCGCTGGCTCTGGACACAGGCAGGGGGCAGGAAGGAGACCTCAGCACCAGCCAGAAACGCCTGCCCTGCCCCATCCCCTGGACGCCACCGCAGCATTAGGGGGCAGGGTCACCTCCCTCCACCCAGGAAAGGTCCCTTTGAGGCCGTTCCCTGGGTCAGTTTGCAGGAGACCCGCAGGTACCAGGACACCTGACTTATTGCTTATTTTCAGTGGTGGCCAAGCCAACCTGACCCAAACGTGACACACGGGGTTCTCGGACATGGCTCCCACCCCGGCGACCCAGGAGGGGCATCCCTCTGCCCTCCAGCTCGCTGCCCACCTAGGTAGGAATCACCCAGCTCCAAATACATACCCCTGGAGACGGGGAGCTCACCACCTGGCCTAAGAACCAGCTCCTCCCAAGGCGCCTGTAGCTTCCTGCAACGCCCAGGGCATCAGGACCATGCCTGATGCCGTCAGCAGCACCCACTCGGCACTCTGCGTATGCGGGCCTCTCCCCGGGGACTGTCCGCCCAAGGGTGCCGATGGCAGACAGGCAGTGGGGACGGCTCTGAGTTGAGTCCCCGCGGGGGCTGACCCAGGGCAGCCTCACCCATCTCTTCGCCTGGTCCCCGCTGCTCACATGAGCCTGGACGAGGCCAAGACAGCCTCTCGGACAACTCGAGCTTTCAGTACCGCCGAGGCGCAGGGGTCAGCGGTGCTGGAGGAACTGGAAACCGAGGCCTCTGGGCCTCACTTCCCTCGCACATAAATTTTAACATTTACATGTCTTGCTTTACAGTTTTATACATGGTCATTTTACACCGAAGGTCTTATTTGATCCCCAGAGCCCTGCAAGGAGGGCCTTAGGCTGCACCCTCAACAGGAGAGGACACTGACGCTCAGAGAGGGAGGTTGCCACCCATCGAGGGGGGGGCCAAGGCAGCGGGGCTCCCCCGCAGCCCCCCGCCCCCGCCAGCCACCCCTCCAACAAGAGGCCCCCACGCTGTGTGTGAGCTGCTGGCCCTGATTCTCTGAGTCCTCCTTTTTTCCCCACCAGGGGCCCAGAGATGCTGAGTGACTTGCTGAAGGTCACACAGGAAAATGAAAGCCAGAGCCCAGGGGGGCTCCTCCCAAGGAGGGCAGAACCCCTTCACCTACGGCCACGCAGCTCCAGGCACAGTCACCCAGGAAGGGGCCTGGGCTCGAGGGGACCATTCCTGAGCAGAGGCTCAGCCACGCCGCGGCCCGCTGCCACCCATGCAGAGGGAGGCCCAGCCCAGAGGCTCCGCACGGCCCGTCGTGTGGAGCACAGACCGGGAAGTGCCTCAGGCCCCTGGGCACGAGGGACTCAGAAAGATGGGGTACCAGCTGGCACAGGCAAGGGGACACGGCAGAGGGTGTGTGGCCAGGGGTGGGGGTGTGGAATCTAAAAACAAGCAGCGGCTGGCAGCAGGGAGGCGCCAGGCCTGGGGGCCAGAGGAGGGGCCACGGCGGAGCCCCCGTCATCCAAGAGTCGGGGCACCCTGCTCGGGGAGCTGGCGTTCAGCAGTGGAGCCTCGTGGGGTGGTCCAGCAGGCGGCAGCCCAGGGGACCCCTTCGCCAGGGCTGGACGTCTCTGAGCACCCCTCAGCCTCTCGCCCACCGTCGGGCCCCGGGGCAGGAAGGAAGCTGTCCAGGCCGCTCTGCTTGGGAGCCGACTCCCCGGTGTGCTGGTGTCTGAGAGGCGGGAGGGGGTCACGTCCCCTGCAGCTAGGCGGCGACAGGCAGCGTCCTATGTACAGTCCACCAGGGAGAAAGGAGCCTGCGGCTCGGCACAAGGGCCAAGTCCACGTCCACGGGGGAGCGGCCCTACAAAGGCCCTTTGAACTGGTTCCCAGAGAGGTGCTGCCGGATGGAGGGCTTGGAGCTGGCGGCATCTCCCAGTTTCCTCCAGACCACCTGTGGGGAGGAAGGGGGGGCTGCTGTGAGGGGAAGGCCCACCCCAAGCCGCCCCTGGGGGCCTGTGGGCACAGACTGCCCAGTCGCTCAAGATTGCCTGTGTCCCCCAGAGCCCTGGGGCCAGGAGGGGGCACAGAGGAGACCCTCAGACCCGATCTGTTTATGCCCACCCTCACCACCACACTCCCCAGCCCGGCACAGATCACATGGGTGCGGACCTGGCCTCACGGTGGTCCAGTGGGGTCTACAGACCCGGGGGGGGGGGGTTCCGGCAGAAGAGGGGGACTCAGGACACGCTACCCCGAGCAGGGCCTGGGCGCAGCCCCCGTGATCCCCCTTCCCTCCTGGCTCCCTCGAGGTCCACAGGGACAGCACGCATCGACCAGGCCAACAGGAGAACGCTCTGCCTCCCTGAAGCCCCAGAGGGGCCCAGCTTCTCAAAGCCAAGGCACCCCCGGGCTGGGGGTGTTGCAGAGCAGAGAGGGTCCCACGGGCACCCACAGTGTGAGCATAACCTGTGTGCTGGCAGCCAGACTGACACCAGGGGACAGGGGTCAGGGGCCAAGGGTCAGGACGCGTGGGGCAAACCAGACCGGAATCAGGGACTCGGTTCTCAGGGAGGGGAAGCGAGGAAGAACAAAGGTGGGGCAGGGAAGGAGGGAGGGGAGAAGGGAGGGGGGGGAGGAGAGAGGGGAGGA